GTTAGCATATGGGTGAAGCTTAATAATGACTGTATAAAACAAAAAAATGATAATTTGGGGAATAAACAACGAATAAAACTAACATACAAGATGAAAGAAACATTAGGATCAAAGTCTTTAAGGTCCCAGATGGTTCAGGAAATAATGAAGATAACTACTTTTATTTTTCTTGAGTAGGAGTCTCACTCCATCACCCAGGCTGGAGTGCCGTAGTACACTCATGGCCACCCCAGTGTCAACCTGCTGGGCTCAGGTGATCCCTCCGCCTCAGCCTTTCAAGTGGCCGGAACTACAGGTGCATGCTACCGCGCCCGGCTAATTTTTTATTTATTGTAGAGATGAGGTCTTGTCAAGTCACTCGGGTTGGTCTTTAACTCGCAGGCTCAGGCAATCCACTCGCCTTGGTGTCCCAAAGTGCTGGGATTACAAGGCTGAGCCACCGAGTCTGGCCTAGAAGGAGTAATGAACTAAAGCACCAGTTAATAGACATCTACTCTAAGGGGAAATTTAAGAGGCGCAACTGAAGATTTACATACAGAAATATTCACCTGCCTGGGCAACTTGGTGAGACCTCATCTCTACAATAAATAAAAAAATTAGCCGGGCGTGGTAGCGCGCACCTGTAGTTCCAGCTACTTGGAAGGCTGAGGTGGAAGGATCGCTGGAGCCCAGCAAGTCAAGGCTGCGGTGGCCGGGACCGACCACTGCACTCCAGTCTGGGTGACAGAGTGAGACTCCAACTCAAAAAAAAAAAAAAGAAATATTCACTATAGGAATATTTTTAATAGCAAAAAATTAGAGACAATACATATAACAGTAAGAAAATGATTTTAAAAATGACAGTTTAAAAAGACTTGAAATACATTTAGTAAGATGTTTATGATTTATTGAATCATTGATTTGTTATTGAAGTTTTCTACTTTTCTATTACTTCAGTAATAAGCTACTACATAGCTATTTTAAAATAATATTGATAACTTCCACTTATTAATGGATTATGTACCAGACACTATATAGTATAAATTAGATATTTTACATACAGTTAATTAATCTTTACTATTTTTTTTTTTTGAGTCAGAGTCTCATTCTGTCATCCCAGCTGGGGTGCAGTAGCACACTCGTGGCCTCCACAGCCTCAACTTGTTGGGCTCAGGCGATCCCTCAGCCTCAGCCTTCCAAGTAGCTGGAACTACAGGCATGTACCACCACACCCAGCTAATTTTTTGATTTTTTGTAGAGATGAGGTCTCACCAAGTTGCCCAGGCTGGTCTTGAACCCGTGGGCTCAGCGGTCCTCTCACCTTGGCCTCCCAAAGTGCTAGGATTACAGGCATCAGCCACCGTGTCCTGCCAATCTTTACTATTATAAGGCAGGTATTATTAGCCTCATTTTATATAAAGCAACATGGTCCTTAGGCTTCTGTTTTTTACCAGTTTCCTGCTGGTAGAAAGAATTTTGAATTCTTTTATAAAAATCTCTATTGTTCAGCATAGGCTCTTGCCTCTTGGTTTGATGTCTGGATTTGGGAAGCTATTCAGAACAGAACTGGAGTCACAGCCAAAGATATGATAATGTGGAATGATTAGAGTTTAAACAAGGATCACTTTCCATAGAAGGGAGATTTGCTACTTTGTGATAGATTTCTTTTCTTTTCTTTTGAGTTGGAGTCTCACTCTGTCACCCAGGCTAGAGTGCAGTGGCACACTCATGGACACTGCAGCCTTGAACTACTGGGCTCAGGTGATCCTTCTGCCCCAGTCTTCCAAGTAGCTGGAACTACAGTGCACGCCACCATGCTGGCTAATTTTTTGATATGATTTATTGTAGAGATGAGTCTCACCAATTTGCCCAGGCTGATCTCGAACCTGTGAGCTCAAGCAATCCTCTCACCTCAGCCTCCCAAAGTGCTGGGATTACAGGCGTGAGCCACTGTGCCAGCTGTGGTAGATTTTCTTTTCTTCCCACACTAATTTCACATAAAAGAACAAAAATAAGTATCACCCATCTATTACTTTTCTATATCATTTTCCTTTTTATAAAATTCAGACACTGCCTCCTATGATACAACACCAAGCTGGGCTGGGCAGATAGGTAGTATTATCTTTGTTTTAGAGATGAAGAAAAGGAAGCTAAAAAATGAAAATGTCTTGCTAATAAGTAGTGAGTAAAGCCCACCTTTCTGGAGCCTGCGTGCTTCCTACTGTATTTATCAACTGGGAAGACTTTCACATAACCCTAGCGCTTGCTGGGAAAATACCTGTCTTCTACACAAGGGCATATTTTATATACACCTTCCATTGTAAAAAATTGTTCCTTTTATTTAAATTGTTTTTGAGACATGTTATTCCCATTCTATTTGTCATCTGAAGAATAAAATTCCAGACAGTATGTTTCCTAGATTTTCTAAGAATGTAATAGCCACTACGGAGACATTCATCAAAATGTTAACATTAGTTATCTCTAAGGAGAGGAATTTTAGATAACTTCAGTTTTTTTCTTTAAACTTCTGTCAAAAAAAAAATGCTTCATCTTCTCTACATCATCCAGGCTTAAACCCATTTTTGCATCCCTCACTGCACTGTAGATAGCAGGCGTTCAGTAGCAAGTGCTGAATAAATCTATTTACTCTCACCAATGGTAAATGCACTAGAAAGCAATAGAGTTAATTATTACTGAGTCAATCTTTGGCCTTCTCCTTCACTCCCCATAATATCTTTTTTCTTTTTTTTTAATTAAGAAAGGTAGAGATATTAAAGGAAAGATACATTGTGGAGGGCACAACGGGCAGGACTATAGTAAGAAGGTCTGGTGCACGCTGCACTCCCCATAATATCAATCACCAAGGACAGTCATGCATCACTTAACAACAGGGACACATTTTGAGAAGTGTGTCATTAGGTGATTTTATTATTGTGCAAACATCACAGCATACTTAACAAACCTGTAATAGATGGTACAGCCTACTATATACCGGAGCTATATAACATATACTATTGCTCCTAGCTTATAGACCTGTACAGCATGTTACTGTACTGAATACTGTAGGCAACTGTAACAGGACATAAGAAAGGCATGGAAAAAATATGCTATTACAATCTTATGGTGCCATCCGGCACCATAAGAAAGGCATGGAAAAAATATGCTATTACAATCTTATCGTGTCATATCCGGTCCATCATTAATCAGAATGTCATTATGTGAAACATGACTGGACTTTAAATTCATTCTTTATTATGACTCTTATACTTACTCTGACCTCCCATCTGGTGTAGCCCCTCAATGTTTCATACTTATCTTGGTTATCTTGATGCAGTAGGCCCTTAGAAGCTTCCTTGCCTTCAATCTTTATTCTATCCTGTATTTTGCCACCAAATTTTAATCTTACTAAAACAAGCTTTGGTCACTATCTAAATCAATCTAAACTTTCCAGACCTCTGGAAACAACTACTTGATGTCCTCAGAAAAATGTACTCTACAAACTGGTCTCAGCCTACCTTTCTATTCCCATTTACAATAACCCATTTACTCATCAGCCTCAGAATAGGCATTGTGTACTTTGTCTCTACAGCTTTATTCATTCCTTTTCTTCTACCTGAAAAGCCCCATCCCTAAGTTAAAATTCTACCTAGTTCAAATAGCCTTTCTTCTAAGAAAACTATCTGACCATTACGATCTGCATTAATACCTGAATTTCTAAAAGCTACACTATTTCAGCTGCTCACAATATTGACCAACCCTGGTAAACTATGGGCTACTTGTCTCCTCAACTATAGATTATTTAAGGTAGGACTATGTCTAATGTATCTTGCTATGTAACTTGCATTTAGACGCTAAAATATTTGTAGTTAACCAATGAAACAAAGCAGGCTTTTTTAAAAGTCAGTAAAATAAGACAAAGCCCATTTAACACACTTCAAAGGACCAACCAATCATTTTTGTAGCCAGAGAAAACTTCACCTCTATGTAGGCCACTTATGAACCTAATCCTGACTTGGGCCCCACATCTTTAAAAAAAAAATTTTTAGAGAGTTTAACTTGTACAGAATTACGCAGATAGCAAGTGAACAGGGATCTAACTTGTATGACACTCCAAGCCTATGGTACATTCCATCACATATACAAATACTAATCACTGCTTCTGATGATATCTGTATTGCTTCTTATCATTGTTCCATCTCCCCCATTTAGTCTTGGTACTTTAAATATTTCTAATCAGTATCAGCTGACCTCATCCTAGATAAGCAATCAAAAGCAGCTTTCTCAGACTCTCAGGTCAGATTTGAGAAATGTCTTCTCTCATGCTCCCACTATATCCAGTATCCATCTATAGCTTTATAATAGAAAGTATCATTATACTGTGATTGTATGACTGTCTCCCCTGAAGACTATAAGCTTAAGAGGAAGGTTTGACTCCTTATTTTGGTATTCCTAGTATCAAGCAAAGTATCTTAGCACAGTCCACATTTCACAAATATGTGTAAAACAAATAAAACTGACTAAATTACATAATGTACCCAAGGACACACAGCTACTAAATGACAGAACCAGGATTCAAATTCAAGCATCTCTGCTGCCAAAGTTTATAATTACTATGTCTTAATGAAGCTAAAAATGTGATGTTTATCTTCTCTTTATCCTGCCTGTTGGAATGATTTGATCATAGATATATCAGAAATATGTATGTGCGTGTGCGTGTGCGTGTGTGTGTGTGTGTGTGTGTGTATGTCCCTATTTTAAAGATAGCTTACAATTATATAAATTTTCCTATCTTATTAGAGCTTCCCATTTTAATACCTACATCCTGTAAAAGCTTGCTAGGTGGTTGGCGTGTAATAATAGTGGTAATCTCTTGTAAATACTAGAAATATAAAGAGTCTATGGTGTGTTTGATAGTCTCTTTGAATTCAAAACTTGCTGCATAGAAATTGATGCTATTTTGAGTTGTCACAGGAACTGTGTACAAAAACTAAGGCAGAGTCTCTTAGGAAAAAAGAACTCACTTTAACTTTAGCTTTTATTTCTTCACTCTCCCCTTCTTCATCATTGCGGGGTTCCATGCCAGAATCCTCCTGGATGTCTTTGTTTAGTACAGAGTACTCTTCTAGTAGAGTGTCAAATAAAACTATTCGCTTGTTCTTGAAGAAGCCATAAAAATAAGCATTGCTGTGGGAAGAGCGTTTAGATCCTAAGAAAAAGACAGTTCAAAGCATGGAATATAATTAAAAAATCTGGGGTCCTTTGGAGAGACTTCTAGAAACTGAATTACTGGAAAGGACGTTAACATTTTCAAACTGCTTAATACCTAAAGAAAACCCGTGTCAACATATTCACTACCAGCAGTGAAGAGTGTCTGCTTCCTTGCACTCTTGCCAGCAAATATGCTCATCACAGCTTTATAGCAATAGTAAGTAAAGCCTAAACATCCAACAGTTGTGGAATGATTCAAATATATTAAAGTTATGAGATGAAATTTTAAGCAGCCAGAAAAAAGAATACTCTCAAAGAATTTCAAAAAGAAAAAGCTCACCAGTATATTATGAAGGATATAAAACTTCATGTATATAAGGCTCCATTATTGTCAAGAAAAAAATGTACATGTAAGTAGAAAAGCATAAACCCAAGCCTATTAAGAAACATACCAAAATACTGAAGTGTTTACCACTGGGCTTTAGGATTATAAATTTTTGTTTCCTCTCTTTTTACTTTTCTCTCTTTTCCAAGGTTTTAAACAAATTCACTTTTAGGATCAGAACAAAAATTAAAACTATTTTTATAAAGACTGGAGGAAGAAATACTTAAGTTTTTAACAGTGGCTAACAGTAGCTAAACTATGGTTGATTTTTATTTTCTTCTTTATATAATTATTTAATTTCCAAATGTTCTACAATGTGCAATAAGTTAAGTACAGCAACTAAAAGCTTAGACTTTGGGTTCAAATCTTGGCTCTGCCATGTATTAGTTGTGTATATTTAGGAAACATTCTTCATTTCTTTAAGTTTTAGTTTCCTTTTATGAAATTAGGGTCATTTCTCCCTCACTGGGTGAGATTAGGATTATATGAGATATTCCAAGTAAAGCAATTAGTATACTATCTGATCCATATAAACTATTACTATTATTTGTATACTTTAAAAAAAAAGAAATTATAAAAACATTTATTTCTCTTGAAAATTTGAGGTCTCTCACAAAAACTGAATTTTCTATCTACTCATATTTCTAATGTAAAGTACTTGGCAATATTTTTGGTAGTAAAGCTTTGATAAATAGAAGCTATAATGTATTTATTTATTACATTATTATGTTACCTTTTGGTTTGGTTGCTGGGAAGTTAAGACACAAACAAGTGATCAAATTTTGCCAATAATATAGGACCTCAGGATCTAGAAAGTTGTGTTACCATTCTGAGATTGCATACTCCTATCTCATCTCTACCTGATCCTAATTTTTAAATTAATTTAAAAATAGTTCCTAAAAGCTGTCTTAAGTTATTTATTAAAGTAGGCAGATAAGTAAATTAATGTCTTAATATCTCCCATTGTCCAAGGTGTGGTCCAGAATCACCTAGGAGTGCTTATTAGAAGTAGATATTGGAAACACCTACTAAGACAGAATCTCTGGGAATGGAGCCCAGGAATATGTCTTTTAACAGACTCTCCAGGGAATTCTTATACTTACTAAAGTTTAAGAGTCCCTGTACTAAACCATAAGCTTTTTGTATCACTGTGTCTGGCATGTAGTATTCAGTCATGCATTGTACAACGTTTCAGTCAGCAACAGACTACGTGAAGGCACAGATGGCAATGCCTTACATTTTTATAGAGCATTTCGGACAGTGGTTCATAAGATTATAGGGGAGCTGAAAAATTCCTATCACCCAGAGATGTCATAGCCATTGTAATGTTGCAGTGTAACACATTATCTTTTCTATGTTTAGATACACAAATACCAATGTGCTACAGTTGCCAACAGTGTTCAGTACAGTGACATGCTGTACAGGTTTGTAGCCTAGAAACAATAGGCTATACCACATAACCTAGGTGTGTAGTAGGTTATATCACCTAAATTTGTGTAACAACTCTCTGTGGTATTCACAGGACTATGAAACTAGCTAACCATGAGCGATGTATGACTGTATATTTAATAATGATTGTTTATGGAATGGATTAATGATACTACTTGAGGCATGAAGTAATTTGAGAACTTTGAAAATCGAAATGCTCTACAAAAATGTAAGGCACTGCCATCTGTGCCTTCATCTTTTGTTGATGATGTCTCTTCTTAATCAGCCCTTTAGCAGCATTTAACACAGCTGACCACTTCCTCCTTGAAACACTTTTCCTAGCTTCTAAGACACCGCTTTCTCCTGGTTTTTTCCTACCTCAATGGTCTTTCTTCCTCAGCTTCCTTTTTCCCTCCTGACTCTGACCCTGGCCCTCTTTTCTTTTTAAGTGCTCTCATTCATGACATCAAACACCATCTATATGCCAGATATTTCCATACCTATATTTTTAGTGCTGATCTCTCCCTAGAATTCTAGATTTATATACCTAGCTGCCTATTTGAAATTGCCACATGGATATCTACAGACACATTTGTTGTTTGCATTCTTAGTTTTTTCTTTGTTTGTTGCCTGTCCAGTATTGGAATCTCCTTTCAGAATTCAGAGAATTTCATACCATGTAAGTGAGAGACCACATCTCATTTGAAAAATTGAAAAAGCCAGATAATTGCTTCCCTAAAACTCCTAGTAGCTAGCCCCATGCCCCAGTTTAGTCAATCAGATATACCCATTGGGGACTCTGAAAAGTTAGCATAAAAGCAAGGCAATGAGGAACTAATTCCACAGGTGCTAGTGGCTGAATCCGGTGTTCTGAGGTAGCCACAGCCGTGCCCTCACCAGACTGGTTTGCAGTACAATTCTGAGTTCCCAACCTCCCTATTTAACAGCTCATTTTCCCAGGCTGGTAAACTTAACTTTCCTGGAGACTTTGTGAGCAATCAAATGCTGTTTCAATAAGCAATTTCTCTGCTTAAGTCAGCCAGAGTTGGCTTCTATTGCTTACAAAACTCTGATTAATAAAATGTGTAATAGGTACCTAAATATGTAACACAGCCATTAGAATTCTTAATCCTCACAAATCTGCACTTCTCCCATTTTTTTCCTCTCAGTAAAATACCATTTATGCAACTGCCCAGGTCAAAAATATAGGCTGTTATCCTGATTGTCTCTCTTTTCTTTATTTTCCCACACGTATGTAATTTATTAGCAAATTCAATAAACTCTACTTCTACAATCTATCCCAAATGCATCCACTTCCCTCCATCAATTACTGTTGTCCTAGTCTAAGCTACCATTGTGTGTCCTACTAGACAATATATTCCAATATATTCTTTTTTTTTTTTTTGAGCCAGAGTTTCACTCTGTTGCTCAGGCTGGAGTGCAGTGGCACGCTCACAGCCACTGCAGCCTCGACCAGCTGGGCTCAGGCAATCCTTCCGCCTCAGCCTTCCAAATAGCAGGAACTACAGGCATGAGCCACCATGCCCAGCTAATTTTTTTATTTATTGTAGAGACAAGGTCTCACCAAGTTGCCCAACCTGGTCTCGAACCCCTGGGCTCAGGCAATCCTCTCGCCTCAGCCTCCCAAAGTGCTGGGATTACAAGGTTGAGCCACCGCGCCTGGCCTACAATACATTCTTCAGACAGCAGCCCAAGATATTTTGAAAATACAAATTAGACTATGTCACCTTCCTGCTTTTCCCACTGAACTTAAAAAAATAAAATCCAAACTCTATACCCTGACGTACAAAGGGCTATGTAGTCTCACCCCTGTCTATGTCTCAGATTTCACCTCATAACACTTTCCTGATGTGGTAGTTCTTCACAGTCCTTGAAGATACTGGGCTCTAGAATATATTCCTATTGATCTCAACATGGATAAATCCTCCCTTTAGATCCCAGATTAATAGTCATTTGTCCAGAGAGGTTCTCTGTAACCCAATCCAAAGTATCAACTCAGTCATCCTTCAACACACTAGTTTAACTCCTTGCACAGCACTTGCTATCTGGTAGTTTTTTGAAAGCAAGATTCTTGGCTTTTCTGTTTTGTTTTGTTTTGGTTTTTTTTGAGTTGGAGTCTCACTCTGTCGCCCAGACTGGAGTGCAGTGGCCGCTCCCGGCCACCACAGCCTCGACCTGCTGGACTCCGGCGATCTTTCCGCCTCAGCCTTCCAAGTAGCTGGAACTACAGGCATGTGCTACCACGCCCGGCTGATTTTTGATTTATTGTAGAGATGAGGTCTCGCCAAGTTGCCCAGGCGGGTCTCGAACCCACAGGCTCAGGCATTCCACTCACCTCAGCCTCCCAAAGGCGCGGGATTATAAGCTGAGCCACCGAGCCCGGCTGATTCTTGCTTTTCACTGCAATATCCCTACCACTTTACAAATATGTAATGTGTGCCATTATTGTTAGCAACAACATTCATTCATTCAAAATGTTTTTGAGTGTTGTTACTATTGTTAATAATAAAAACATACATTTAGATGAGTAAATTACTGTTTAGCAAAGGTAAGTTGCCCAAGTACACAGATAATTTGTCTCAGACTCCTAGTTTCAAGCAATCCTCCTGCCTCAGTATCTTGAGTAGCTAGAATGACAGGCTCAAGCCATCATGCCCAGCACCGATAATTTGTGATAGAGTTAGAATGTAAACCCAAGTTTTTTGACTCCAAAGCCTGACCTCTGAAATACTATCTCTCATCTCCTCCAATCTTCATTTTTCCATTAAGACCCAGCTCATTAGCTGGGCGTGGTGGCACTTATCTGTAGTTCCAGCTACTTGGAAGGCAGAGGCAGAAGGATCACCTGAGCTCAGTAGGTCGAGGCTGTGGTGACCATGAGTGTGCCACTGCACCACAGCTTGGGCAATAGAGACAGAGTGAGACTCTGACTCAAAAAAAAAAAAGAGACCCAACTCATGTCATAACCCTCCATAAAGTCTTCCTTGACTACTTCATCTAAAATGAAAATAGCATTGATGGTATGTATCATACACTTCACTAATTACCTCTACTGTCAAAACATTAGCTATTGATTCATGTTATCTAATTATAAATTAAATGATCAGCAACTTAGTCTGCCCCTTCAGTAAAAGTCTCTTGGAGATTGTTCTACTGTACTGATTCATGTGCTACTAGCTTAATATTACCTTAAAAAGTAGTGATTTCAGGCCGGGCGTGGTGTCTCCACACCTGTAATCCCAGCACTTTGGGAGGCTGAGATGAGAGGATTGCCTGAGCCCAAGGATCAAGACCAGCCTAGGAAACTTGGCAAGACCTGGTCTCTACAATAAATCAAAAAATTAGCCAGGCGTGGTGATACGTGCCTGTGATTCCAGCTACTTGGAAGGCCGAGGCGAAAGGATCGAGTTGGAGGCTGAGATGGTTGTGAGTGTGCCACTGCACTCCAGCCTGGGGGACAGTGAGACTCTGACTCAAAAAAAAAAGCAGTGATTTCAAAGGCTAAAGAAGTAAGTATGAACTGACTTACTCCTCTACCATTTCATCCTTAAGCTATTCCAGTTGTGCCTTTAGTTGGGTTGTAGCTAAATGTCTAAAATTTCTATACTCTTCTAGTTGCTGTTAATTCATTTTTTACAATTATGACCATTTCTGTTCTCCCCTAACCCTGCAATTGCTTCTAAGTTTCTATTCCTTCATCTAACACAGCTCCTTCTCATTGATACTATTTTAATTTAAAGCAGGGAGCAAGCCAGGCTCAGTGGCTCAGCCTGTAATCCCAGCACTTTGGGAAGCTGAGGTGAGTGAACTGCCTGAAACCCGTCTGGGCAACTTGGCGAGACCTCATCTCTACAAAAAATAAAAAATTAGCCGGGCATGGTAGCACACGCCTGTAGTTCCAGTTACTTTGCAGGCTGAGGCGGAAGGATTGCCGGAGCCCAGCAGGTCGAGACTGCAGTGGCTGGGAGCCGCCACTGCACTCCAGTCTGGGTGACAGAGTAAGACTCCAACTCAAAAATAAATAAATAAAGCAGGGATCAGTAAAATCAGCAAACTATGGTTCACAGGCCAAATCCAACCTGCCATTTATTTTTATAAAGTTTTATTGGCACACAGCCATGCTCACTTTCTTTTTAGTATTACCTATGGTTGCTTTTGCACTATAATAGCAGAACTGAATAGCTGCAACAGAGACCACTTAGCCCACAAAGCCTAAAATATTTACTATCTAGCCCTTTACAGAAAACATTTGTGAAACTGTAGTTTAAAGGAAGCAGAAATAAACCCAGAGGGCTAAAGTAATTTATCCAAGATCTCATAGCTGGTTAAGTGGCAGGGGCAGATCCACTTATATTCATTTATATGGATTTTAATTTCTAATTCTGAAAGTCATGGTACCTTACAACAGTTTTTCTCTACATCTTTGTAGGCTTCCTTAAGATGTCAGTAGTCTTATGCACGCTAACAGACAGCTGAACTGTCAAAAGCAATCAGCAAAAAAGCAGAGTACTACTAACCTGAACTACCTGATGGTAGTTTTCAGTAATCTGCAGGTGAGTCCCCCAGAACACTTAATGTTGGCTTTGTTTATGAGCCTCCATACTAATGCTAAATGGAATCTGACTATTCAAGAGTCTAACTAAACTACTTAAAGGAGCCAGGCAGGTAAAAGAAGTAAATAATCAGTCTGATGTACATAAAACAGGGAGTGGAAAAGCCTTGGCCAAAAATTCAAAACTATACTGTAAAACCAACCAAACATAGCTGCAGCCAAGAGCAGGATTTGGCATCAGGCCACCAGTTTCTGTCCCTGGACCACGTCACTGATTCCTATAAATCTTAAAGCCAAAATGTAAAATCTTAACTAAATTTAACAAAAAAACAGATTTGTTCTTTTATTAAACTTTTAAAAATAAAGTGTCAAATAAAACAAACTACTCAAAAAAAACACCTTCTTACCTCCAGGCAGCCTTACCTTCAACAACATACACTTTAGTCAAAGGAAAGTCAATACTCCTTGCCATTACTTCAATTTCTTGTTTAAGCGTTCCCTCTGGCAAAGGTGTGAATTTGTCAAATAAAGGGGCGATATAATCAGCATAGATTGTGACAAGAACCTGAAAAGTAAATGTCAGAATGAACTATAAATATGTCCTTAAAGAAAAACTACTTTTTAATACAGATTAAATTATACTAAAACAATTATGTTGGCCAGGCGCAATGGCTCATGCCTGTAATCCTAGCACTTTGGAGGCAGAGGCAAGAGGATTCCCTGAGCCCAGGGGTTGAGACCAGCCTGGGCAGCTTGGTAAAACCTTATCTCTAAAATAAATAAAAAAATTAGCCAGGTATTGCGGCATGTGCCTATAGTTCCAGCTACTTGGAAAGCTGAAGAGGTGGAAGGATCCCTTGAGGCTAGCAGGTTAAGGCTGCAGTGGCCATGAGCGTGCCACTGCACTCCAGCCTGGGCGACAGAGTGAAACTCCGACTCAAAAAATAAAAAAAAAACAAAAAAAAATCATGTTGACCCCAAACTTGAGAACAGGAAATTTATTTGTTCTAATATTCCCAGACCTAAACAGTGCCAGATGGAGCTCAATATCTGTTTAATGAATTAAATCAAAATGAGCAGTCTAATAACAAGTAAACCTGTAGATTTTGTTTTAGAAGATAATACTACCAAAAGCAACCAAGATCTCTAGGAGGTAATAAATAGTCCTTTCAAAACTTCTTGGGGGGCTGGGCACAATGGCTAACACCTGTAATCTCAGGACTTTGGGGGACTGAGGGAGGAGAATTGCTTGAGGTTAGGAGTTGAAGACCAGCCTGGGCAACATAGCAAGACCTCCATTTTAAAAAAAAAAAAAAATTAAGCCAGGTTCAGTGCTCAGCCTGTAATCCCGAGCGCCTTTGGGAGGCTGAGGTGAGTGGATTGCCTGAGCCCGCAGGTTCGAGACCCACCTGGGCAGCGAGACCTCATCTCTATAATAAATCAAAAAATCAGCCGAGCATGATAGCACATGCCTGTAATTCCGGCTACTTGGAAGGCTGAGGTGGTAGGATCGCTGGAGCCCAGCAGGTCGAGGCTGCGGTGGCCGAGAGTGGCCACTGTACTCCAGTCTGGGTGACAGAGGGAGACTCCAACTCAAAAAAAAAAAAAAATTAGCCAGGCATGGTGGTATGTGCCTGTAGTCCCAGCTACACAGGAGGCCAAGGTGGGAGGACTGCTTGAGCCAGGAGTTCAAGGCTGCAGTGAGCTGAGCTATGATCGCAACACTGTACTCTAGCCTGGGCAATAGAGCAAGAAGACTCTGTCTCTTAAAAAACAAAAAATAGGCCAGGCTCAGTGGCTCAGCCTGTAATCCCACGCTTTGGGAGGCCGAGGTGACTGAATTGCCTGAGCCCGCGGGTTCGAGACCCGCCTGGGCAACTTGGTGAGACCTCATCTCTACAATAAATCAAAAAAATTAGCCGGGCGTGGTTGCGCGCACCTGTAGTTCCAGCTACTTGGAAGGCTGAGGTGGAAGGATGGCCGAAGCCCAGCAGGTCGAGGCTGCGGTGGCCGGCAGCGGCCACTGCACTCCAGACTGGGCAACTGAGTGAGATGCCAACTCAAAAATAAAAATAAATAAATAAATAAACAAAAAACAAAACCCCCACAACTTCTTGGGGATTTCTGACACTTCATGAGGCAATCACAATGTACAATTCTGCCTTTCAGAGTAGTCATGATAGACCTGAAGTGTGCTAAGAAGAATAATGAGAGCATGCTAGGCATAGTGGCTCATGCCTATAACCCCAGCACTTTGGGAAGCGAAAACGGGAGAATCGCTTGAGCCCACAAGTTCAAAACCAGCCTAGGCAGCATAATGAGACCTCATCTCTATGAAAAAATTTTCAAAAATTAGCCAGGTCTGGTGGTATGTGCCTGTAGTCCCAGGTACTCAGAAGGTTGACATAGGAAGATTGCTTGAGCCCAAGCATTAGAGGCTGCAGTAAGTCATGATCATGACACAGCAACAGAGTAAGACCCTGACTCAAAAAAAACCCCAAAAACAGTAACAACAACAACAAAAATACAAGAGGTTGACTATGTGCTACTGCTCTGTTAACTGGTTTATCTGCTAAAATTAATTATTTGCAGTTCATAACTGTACATTTTGGTTAAAATAGCACTTACTACCTTAAAGCATTTTTGGAGCATTTCCTCTGCTCTTTTTCCTCTTAATTTGCCATACAATAAATACTTGTAAATCCAACTAGCACCCATTTTCTGATCTTGATCCCACAAGTTAGAAGTGAAGAAATGAGCATCACGTAATTCAGATTCATATAAACCTCAGTCCAGGTGCAGTGTTGTACCTGTAATCCCAGCTACTAAGGTGACTGAGGCAGGAGGGTTGCTTGAGCCCAAGGGTTCGAGGTTGTAGCATGCTATAATTATGCCTGTTATTTCACAGTACTCCTACCTGGGTAACATAGTGAGACCCCAGCTCAAAAAAAATGAAATAAAACAAGCCTCGGGCCATTGCTTTACTAAACTCTGGTGTGGCCATTTGCTCTTTTGAGCTATGGCCATCGCCATGTTTTCTAAGCTTTGGTCCCCTCTCCTACCTTGGAGAGGTGAATCTCCTCTCTCTCTCGTTCTTTCTAAATAAACTATATTTTTCAATCTAAAAATAAAAATAAAAGAGAAAAGCCTCATCATCAGTGAAGTTGAAGAGCTGATAGATGATAATTTCTGGGGGCTCTAAACAGACCATTTTGATTGTGTTGTAAAGCAGTTTAGAATATGGGAAAGAGAAGAAGAATAGAAGATGTGAAAGAGGGGGAAAACAGTGTGGCAAAGGGAAGGAGGCAGACCAGAGGGTTGGCAGTGGGACTGAAATGGGAAGGAGAAAAGGGAGGAATGGAAGAAAAATGGGTAAAAGCAGGAAGGGTATGGAAACAAAGAAGGGGTAAGGAGGGAGGGGGGGA